AAATCTCATTCTGTCCGAGCCCGACCTACGGCAGCGGTTTTGGGCCAGAACCTGGTAGGTTGGCTTGGGTCTTATTGGGTTCGGGTGGAGAATCAAAGCGGTTATGTATCCACTGCCTTCTTCATTGATTTCAAGGGGAATCCGAGTGAATCCGACACAATGGCAGACATTAAGAATAACCATATACAAATAGCCAATCTTCTCTTGGTCATATAGAGGCATTTATATTAAATTGAAATGTTTCATATCCTGTTTAAAATGTAACCTCTGAGACCTAATCAGCATTTACATTTGGTAGATTATACAAAGTTACCAGAAAAAACGATGGATTGTTGGATAATGAAAAATGTCTTTTCATCACAATGTCATGTCATCTTTTTCACAGTGTAACATTGTTCTCTCTTCCCTTCTTCCCCCTATCCCATCTACGTCCTCTCCCCTTCCCAGGTGGCCAGATGTGCCGAAGAGAAAGAGCAAGAATAGCCAGTGTTCGGTGAAGAGTATGTCTGGTAAGGATTTATCATCTTCGTTTTGTTGTCGTTTCCAACCAAACAAGTGAACACAATTCAAAACGGGTTCCTTTAAAGATGCTCTGTCTTTTGATGTGCCGGAAGATTTGCTCAGTGCTCAGTGTAGCCCATAACCCCACAGCTGACTCCCCTTGGCTTTCAGTTGCATCCTGGGTGTCATTACTATGATAATCTTCTCCTCATCCTTCTCTTTCTATATTATTTTCTCCAGAGGCTTTGTTGAGCACAAATTAGTTCACCTAGGTGACCGAAGCCTAAGCTTAAGATGTTTGTCCGAGTAGACAGGACTCTTAAGGTACAAGACTACAGTACAGACAAAACAAATCGTACAAATAAGTACAATGAAATAATATACACCTTGTTACTTCCTTAAATGTATAATGTTTTTTGTGGAAATGTCACAATGAAAAAACAAAAAAAACTAAAAGCTAAATAAAGTTTGAAAAAATTGGAAAAAGAGTTGTGTACTATATTTCCCTGTATTTCTTAGTTTGATTTGTTTTAATTTAGGCATTTTAAGTCTTCCATATCACATTTACAAGTGCAGATAAAAAGACAGATTGCAAAGGCAATGTGTGTTGGAAGATATGTTCGCCTAATTGCATACTGCAGCCATATAAGACCCTAACAAGATACTCATAAGCAACCTCTGAAACCTACCGTTTTTAATTTAAAATACATTTTATACATATCTTGTCTTTGCATGTAGGAGTAAAAGTGAAGGTCTTTTACATTTATCTTACAAATGACAATGACGAACAGAATTCCAATTTTAAAAATAGCGTTAAAAATACAGCAGCATCTTTTTAAGTAAAAATGAAAGTCTCGCAGACAATACCCCTTTAGATCACCACTGTGGATCTACTGTCTCGGTGGCTGCAGTAGTATGGGAAGAGCCTCACTATAAATCCCCTCCACCAGAGCGCTCTTTGCATTTTCACTTTCCAGAACCCTCTAAGCATGTGTGTGTGTTTGTGAGGCTGTGAGCAACTGTGATACAGTGGTCGGGTGCTGTGTGTGTTAAGGTGTGCGTAGAGCTGGGGGAAGTGTTTAGGCATCATTTCAATGAATGGTTCTGTGCTCTTCAAAGAGCAGGTGGGCTGTCTTTTTGAGGAGAAAGCCCTGTCTGAGCATGCCCAGATGACTGTCAGTCCTTGTGCAACATCATGGGAGCTCAGAGGTTAGAGTTCTGAAGTGAATGCACATATTGTTATTATGTAAGTATGAGTTAAAAGCATCGAGAGCTAAGGGAAATATGTCACCTCTCAAGAGGAATAAAGAGGGCAAATGAAAAGATGAAAAGCATATTTGATCAATTCTGGGAATGTGACTCTAAACCCCTTATAAGCCTGCATGATACCAGGTCTGTGTGCAGTCTCTTGGGGCCGTATGCACAGGAGCTTCTCTGAGGCCCCTGTGATAACACTCAGCCCCCTCCTCCCTCTCCCTCTCCTCCTCCACTCCTCATTCCCCTTCATCTTCTCCTCTCCATCTCACTATTCTTCTCCTCCTTCCGTCTCATCACCTTACCTCCTCCTTACCACTCACCATCCCACTGGACTTCCCTCGCTCGTACTCATTGTTCACCCTTCTTTCATTCCACCCTGTCTTCCTCTTTAATCTCCTCTTCCTCCTCCTCCTCATCCTCCTGTTCCTCCTCCTCCTCTCCTATAGCTCTTAGTGTCTCTGTTCCAGGGTACATCCCCAGCTACCTGGAGAAGGATGAGCCGTGTGTGGTGTGTGGGGACAAAGCGACTGGCTACCACTACCGCTGCATCACCTGCGAGGGTTGCAAGGTACAGTGGAACATCTCTGTCTCACTATATGATTCTTTGTGAGTGGCGGGTGAAATTTGAACAGTCTCTAGCCATTTGTCAAGCTTTGGATTTCTGTGCATGTTAAAGCAGTGTGCATAGGGCTGTAGTAAGAGACATGTGTGTGTGTATATATATATATATATATAAAAATGTGTTTATCTCCTGTAACGTAACCTAGTTAGCATATCCAGCTAACTAGCTCAGTGTTATAATAATTTGAAAAAATGTTTTAGTCTCCTTGCTGGTCCTTCCAACACATTCAGAATAATTACCATGTATTTATATCTATATTCATTATATCCTGACAGTAGTACATGAGACAGAAAATCTGTGAAAAAGTCAGCTTCCTCTTCCTCCCCTTCTCGTGCTCCTAATGGCATTTAAGAGTGTAAGATGTAAGAATCCACCGGGCCTGAACAAAAACAACCAATCAGAGTGGAGAAAGATAGTTGATTGTTGAGTCTCATTCCCAGGGTGTCAAATACAGATGGTTTGAGACTCTGGGGACGAGACTCAACAATCAGCTATCTTTAAGCCTCCAACCCAAAGCGTCTTTATATCTTTCTTGGCTCTGATTGGTTGTTTTCATTCAGGCCCGGTAGATTCTTTTCAGCAATAATGACAAAAAGTAATTCTTATAGTACCTAGCTGCAAGTCTAAGCTAAGGAGGGTCAGTCAGATCTGACAGTTGTCCTTATATTTATAATTCTAGCACTAACTAGCTCAACACTTCTTTAGGAGAACAGTGCTGTTTCTTTATTAACAGGGTGCTAACCTTTTGCCTGGGATACAGCCGTTAACTGCACATTTAGGACCCTTTTATATGCTTCTCATTTTAAGAGGCTGGAAACATTAAAAATTACTGGAGACAGTATTTTTCAACCAACTCATGAAGCTGACATTTGCCCGATTAGCTAGCTACAGCAAAGAAAAAATGATTTTGATTATGTATTTCTCTTCTCATTAACATCTTCATCATTTGAAAAATGTGGCTCCAGCTCAAAATGACCGCTGGCATGACAAGTAATTTTGTTTTATTTTGCTGTCACAGTACCACTCTTTGAGCCATGAGGCTAATCAACACTGGCAGAATTGTCTGAAGCTTTTTTAGTCATTCTTCTCCACGAACAGAAGTACGTCAGTTTTAACAAACATCAGTTCATACTGCCTTTCAGATACCCCTCTGACACACAACAATATGTGATTCTCTTAGCTGTTGTTTGCTTTTGCTGTTTGCTGCTCAAAGTATAAGAAAATTGTGAAGTCCATCATTTAGATTAGAATATTACATATGAGGCTTGTATTACTGAATATCACAATGGGCTGGCTCTGAAGGCTCAGTCAGTTTCTGAAATGACAGCAGCACTAAAAGGAACCATTTTAAATTCGAACAACAGCAAAATTATTGCTTAACAAATGCCATGGCAAAATTACATTGTGAGCACCTAGAGTCAACTGGCACAGAAAGTAAGCTTATGAAAAGTATTTTTACTGACTGAACTTCTGCTAAGCTTCATGTATTGTTGGGGCTAACTTAATTTTCCTGGTTGAGTGGACCAATTAAAGGCTCCTACAACAGCCTTTTGTATTCACTAGAATGGAATTCATTTCTGGTTTCTGTGGCCCCAAGCCTATTGGGTCCTACTGAAGATGTGAAACTTCAGCAATTGGTCACAAATTTAGTTTCAGTTTTAAAAAAGGCTCAGTAATTTTTAGGTCTTCCCACCAAAACTCGAATCATCAATCAAGACCCCGAGTCGACTTGCATTTTGTCAGTCAAATCTCTGCACTATTGTTTTTTAGCTGCATCATTGTACACAGCGACAGCATAGCAGGCTTTAAACTTTACAAGTCAAGTTTCTAAATGATTACAAACCACAAAACGAACTGTGATGGAACAGATAACGTGACGCAGGGGAGAGATGCTCTTTACTCTGGTGAGTAGCATCCAGTGCTTACAGTCAGTGAAGTTGGCTAGACCGCTTTTGAACCAGGCGGTGGTACAACCTCCTCTACTGCAGTCCACTACGATAGAGTCTTGGGCTAAAAGCCTTTGCTTTCTCTGACTGTGTGGAAATCTGATGTTTTCACCTCACAGATGACAAAAAAAGCATTAAAACCTGCAGTAGGCTAAAACATGAGATTCATGTAGCTGTGTTTCCACATAGCTGATGTAGGCGTTTAGTGTGGCACTGAACTAAGAAAAAGGAATGACTAATCGAATCTTCGTATTGAATAGTCAAATCAGAGTTTACTGACAAAATTTGTCAGGTACAGCCCTAATAATTTTACAGCTGGCACTGTAGCTTTTAGCCAACATTTTTAGCTGTGGATTAACACATATTTGGTGCTCTATATGTGGACTGGACTCAAAATGAACTATAGTTCACACCAACACAGTGTAAATGTTCATGTCTCCCTGTGTAAGATTTATTTGCAGACAGCTGTTTTTCATGCTGTTCAGTAGCCAACTGTTAAACTAATAGTTTGATATTTTGGGAAATACACTCATTTGATTTGTGGCATAAAGTTAGACAAGAGGATGGATACCACTCTCATGTCTGTCTATTAAATACAAGGCTGGAGCCAGCAGCCAGTTAACTTAGCTTAGCACAAAGACTTAGAGCTGAGCCGTTGGCTGGCGAGCATTACAGACTCCAGGAAATTACTGCTCCTAGCCAAGAAATAGTCAGGCACATAACTCTCTGTCTCTAAAAAGCTAATTGTACTGCAATACTGATTAGAAACTGAAGAAAACAGCTGCCCAAAAGTTTGGGAAACACAAAAAACATGGAAAGTCTTCAAATCTAATCTACCAAAAAAAGATAGTACAAATACAAATACATGCCAGGAAATAAACTTGTATTTACTGTTATTATCGTAACAACAACATTATTCTTCTTTTCATAAAATCAATTCATGCTTACTACACTGTACAGTCATTACTTTGGCAGGGGGCCTCTTAATGGAAGGCGTGGGTGTGTTTATAATCCAATGATTGGCGTCCCGTAGAGCGGCCTTTCCACAGCCCCTAAAAACAGCTTCATCCTGCCGTTCTCTTACGGGAAGCAAAGCACACTGAACCCCCACTGTGGTGCTGAAAAGTTTTGATATGTATTATGAAGGATTTTTAAAAAAACAGCTTTTCTGACCTGCCTCCCTGATACTGCTTAAAATCATGTATTTGTAAACCACTTCAAGAGTGTGATTCTAATCAAATTGCTCCTCAACTATCTATAGAGACACTCAGTCAGCCATCACTTTATTACTTAACCATTCTTGGCAAGCAATCATCTGCTTGCAATGTGATAAAGAACCATTTAAAGCATTTGTTTTATGCTAATCAAGACACAAGAACATTTAATTTAGAAGTTATGGTCCTCAATCACTGAATGCTCTTTCTGTCTCTGTGTTCTTCTTTCGCAATTTTGCTCATTTTGTTTTCTTTTTTTCTTTTACTCTTTCTGTTTCTTCTCTATCCTGTTTCCTTTCCACTCTTCAGGGTTTCTTCCGCAGGACCATCCAGAAGAACCTCCACCCGGCTTACTCCTGTAAATATGAAGGCTGCTGCATCATCGACAAGATCACCCGCAACCAGTGCCAGTTGTGTCGGTTTAAGAAGTGCATCTCTGTGGGCATGGCCATGGACTGTGAGTTATATATATCATTCTTATCACCACTAGTATTTACAAAGAGGTCCACAAGGTTATGGCTGCCACTGTCACTATGCAACTGTTGAAAACTCACTGAGCCAAGGACCTTGGCTCAGTGGGCAATGGCAACCTTACCTCTAGTATCACTATGAGATTTAACAATATGGAAGCCAATTTCTGCCAATGTGATGGAAAAACAAGATTCTGTAAGTCATTATAATGAGAAACTTTCTCAAAATACAGAATTTGTTTTGTCACTTTTGGCAACAAATTGGCTTCCATAAATTAATGAGAATGAGTGACTGATTTATGTTACTTCTTTTATTAAGATATGCTGTTAGGATACAGTGTTAGACTGTTGTGTGGCTGATAACTGATGTAGAACAAGTATGTGCCACATTTGTCTGTATTATGTGTGTATGTGTCTGACTAGTTAAGAAGAGAAGTAACAGCACACACACACACACACACACACTCAACAACATCATCTAATTTCATGTTGGGGATGATATTAATTTAGTAGTACAGCTGCTTCTGTGAATAAAGGAAGTTGTTTCTGCTCCTCTGGATATTTTGATGAAAACACAAATTCAGAACATCTGGACTTGACTTCCACCACAGTGCACTTCAATTCTGTTTGATTCACTATAGCAGCAGTGGTCCTTTGAATTCTGTGTTGTAATGTGTTGCAGTTGGGCCTCCTAATTAATAAATGGAGAAACAACTGTAGACATATATAATAAATAAAATATGTGCATACACACACTTTTGCATGCTGGCCAGGCTGTACAAGCTTTTGAGTGACATCATAAACCCTCTCACAAGCCATCATGGAGGGACGATCAAGAATACATTGTACACAAATAGTAACAAAATATATGTTACACTATGTTTTTACAATCAGGATTCTACACAGGGAGTTTTATTTTGAAAACCGACAGGGTGGTCTATGCCATGTAAAAATTGTTATTATTGGTATTGACCCCTACTGAAACCTCACTGCATTAATTCACCTGAACCTTCTCTTCCCCCATCAGTGGTGTTGGACGAGTCGAAGCGCGTGGCCAAGCGGCGTCTCATCGAGGAGAATCGACAGAGAAGGAAGAGGGAGGAGATGGTTCGGACGCTGCAGACGAGGCCAGAGCCAAGCACCGCGGAGTGGGAGCTGATCAGGATGGTCAGCGAGGCCCACCGGCACACCAACGCCCAGGGCTCCAGCTGGAAACAGAAGCGCAAGTTCCTGGTAGGCTTTTAGTCCGGAGCAGACAAGGGCTTCAGACAGAGCTCTGTTGCGTAATGAGGAATAGAAATGTTACACAAACAAATCAATAATGTCCCAAAAATAATGGGAAGTTAGTTATCGTATTTTGGCCCACTGATTTGGCCATATGGTCAACAGTCGCAGCAGCAGCAAAGTCTGTGTCACACAGCCCATTCAATTAAGGTATTTTACACTCCTTTTTCACAGTGACAACTCAATCAAATCTGAATATACAGACATTATACACATATTTTTAGATTCAGTGTGACCCACTCTTTCTAGTTTTCATTACAAATGAATCTGCTTCGAAATCCTATAAAAAGATGCTCCTTATAACTCCAGAACTTATCATGTTTTTAACTTGTCTTCAGTATAAAAGTAATCCAGTGATAGTTGTCTTTACATCAATGGGTACATTGCAAACAGGAACTGCTAATGGCTAATTCGGCACACTTCTAATGGTGCCAATTTGCCAAATCGTAATAAAATAGGAAAAAAAAGTGGAAAAAAAGCAGGGCTCTAGTTGTAGCCCACATCATGTAACTCAGTTCCAAAATCTACAGCATGATTATCCCCAAAATCCAATAATATTATGATTTATATATTCTTTTTCTTGTTGTAAATTCAGGCTGCTTTTAAACATACTTGCAAACTTGAAACTAAAGCACTGGGATGGAAAAACTCACCAGGGTTTGAGCTCTTGCAAATTGGCCTTGACCAGTTTGCAAGAGCTCAAAAACTTGAAGAAAAGTTATTGGTTACGTTATATTTTCATTAATGTGCGTCTAGATCAGGACACTCTTGAGGATTACAGCATGTAAGCCTTCATCACAATCTGTCATTCTGATTTTTATTAATTACTTGCCGTATCCATGCAGAACTTCTGCACTCTTCAGTACTGCTTCTTTTATGTAGCTCATTATTCCAGAATGTTCCGCAGGCAGTATATTGAAAGTTGTTCCCCGCTTCAAAAATGAAGCTAACACATGAAAGAAAGCGCCTTCGTTTCATTTTTGACAGAACTCCTTTTCATCAGCAACTCACTCTGTGCCGTCCCATGTGATCGGTGGCACGTGCAGCTGCATGTGTCTGCACCACCGTTGGTTTCCTTAAGGCAAAGGTCAGATGACAGTTACCAGGCAACCATTACATAGAGGTAAAGATGGGTTTACAGTCAAAAACAGTTTTGAAGGTCTGCTGACGAATTGCTGAGGGTCATTAAAGCAGCCAATCCAAGGTGAACAAAGAAGAAGAAGGATGCTCAGTGGAAAAGAACAGATTCCATTTTTGGGAGAAAGTGACTCAGCCAATCAGAGCCCAGATACTACCTGTTGTTACAGCAACTTCACTGCTTTACACTTCAGCTTAGCTGTGATCTACTGATACCAAACTTTGGAAGGTTACATCACAGGAAAAACACTTTCTGCTTGCATTACAGAAGAGTGCACATTTAAGTACAGTCAGTAAAAAACATGACTGATGTGATTTACATCATTCAGAGAGTGCTGGTTGGTTCTCAAACCTGCACTGTCGACACTTAAAACCTCACACCAGTTTTTTTTTAAACTGTGAAATTATGGTCTTTTTCCACTATTTGTAGCTTTTTAAAAGCCATTCATGACAACAACCAGAATAAAGTAGTATATTCCCATCCACAATCTTCTAACTGTTCAATGTCAGTACATGACTTTATAGATTTTACAGTTGTGTTTTTTATACTTCAGTAGGTTCCTCGTCCCTCATCCTAACATCCTGCTGATGACCCCCAAGTTTCCCCTCTAGCGATTAATAAAGTGTATTTGTTTCCTCTCTGTTATGGTTCTCAAGTTCCCATTTGATCAAAACAGGATAGGGATCAGCTGTGTAGCTATGAATGGGAACCTGTGCAATGTTTACCACATTCTCCCAATCAGTGAGATAACCTCAGCTCTCCTCGATGTTAAATCCACTGTCACGCCGATAAGCTGCTTTGATTGGCAGACGCTAAATGCCTTTAAATTAGTGATCCTCTGTGTCTGATCACACTTTATCCATGTTTTTTTTAACGAAGTGCATTAAACTGTTGGATGTGGTGCTAAAAGTGCATCACAAAAATATTGAATGTATTGAAAGTATGCTATTATTGCTACAGCCTTCTAAACTGACTTCATTTGTCCACATTGTACTGCAACATAGCTCATATATTTATCTTTACATTACCCTGTTAAACTCACATGAGGTCTTCCTCAAATACAGTCTACAATCTTAGTCTCTAATTTAAGTCTGCTCTCCTGTCTACTGCTCATTTTGTCTTTTATGGTATTTAATTTGGTTCCAGACTGTTGCTATGTGAGTCTCCACATGACAACAGTCCATATTTTGGGATCTGTACAAGCCTGTAAACCTTTTCAAATTTTAGGATTTTATTCTGTTAGCCAGTGTTCCCGTCCAGCCTCACTGGAAAAACTGGAAAACGTAAAGAGAATCTAATCTCTAAGCTCAAAGGCCAACTCACAAGCTATCTGAGCTTTCAACCGCAGCTCACTGTCAAATATTAGCATTTCCTAATTAGGTTTTCAGCAGTGAATGCTCCCGTCACCTGTGTGATGTCTTGTTTCTAGTCAGATGATATCGGCCAAGGTCCGTTGGTGCCCACTTCCGATGGAGATAAGGTGGACCTGGAAGCATTCAGCGAGTTCACCAAGATCATGACCCCCGCCATCACGCGCGTTGTCGACTTTGCCAAGAAATTGCCCATGTTCTCAGAGGTAGGTTCAGTGGGTGTGTGTGCATATCTGTGGGTTCCAGTCTATCATCTGCCTCACTACATGGTAGTTTGAACACTTATGGATGCTTTCATCCAGAGTTATTCACAGCATCATTAGTGCTGACATTTTTGGCATGGGTGGCACTCAGTCCTAAAGCTGGCACTGCTGCGCCCTACATATAAATCACACCACACCAGCAGGAGGGGTGTGGATGGGGCTGTAGTGAGAGCGATACTGATGCCCCCCCAAAAAAGAAATGTATTAAACAGCGTGTTTATCTGCTGTAATATAAGCATTTGCATGTCCTAACTAGCTTACTGCAGTAACAATGCCAAGAAGCACATTATTTAATTAATTTGACGCTGATAATACAAGGACTACTAGGTCTACACTGCAATACAACAATAGTTTGTGGAGACTCTCACTTTAAACTGAAGAAAGATTTATTTTATTGTATTTGACGGCATCTAAATGAGCTTCCACAATTAATAAAGGACCCGTTGTAAAATTTCAAATGGCAATTTAATGGTCACCATTAAATAAATATATAACTGTATTCAGTTGTGAATAGTGCAAAGCTTAACAAACTATTACTTTAACCCTGGTATGTTATGGTTAATCTCCTTTTTAAAAATCATTCTTTATTTTTTTCTGAATAATTCTTTTTAAAATGATCGATCTGTAGACACTTTCTTTTACAGGCACTTTATAATAAAAACTCCAGACTCGTCGTCATGAACACCTACTAACGAGCTTGTTGACCTTAACGAGGTCTGCTGTTTGGGTACCCCCTCTTTCAGCAGCCTTTGTCATGCTGCTTGTCAGCTGTTATTACACCAAATAATAATCAGCCCCTTCCCCCGTCCTCCCACCCCCTCTCTCACTGGATGTGATGACTCACTACCACTGCTCTGCTCTCTACAGAAATGACTGTGTGTGTGTGTGTGTGTGTCCTCGCCTGTGTTCCACCTAACTGAGTGCAGTCATCATGTATATTGTAGGGGCTTCCCGGTTACATAAAGTGTAGCAGGGGATTTGTTGGAAATAGAAAATGATAGCTCTTTCTCTGCAAGGAAGCACTCCAAGATAATAATGTTGGGCATTAAAGAAAAGCTTGATACCACATCTTACTGTACATTTAAAGTTTTTTTAGTTAATGTTATATTTGCATATTTTACCACAATTACCACAGTCCATCAGTAAAAATAAAGTGAGCAAAATATCTTCCTATCAATCTATGTTCCTCATTTTCAACTAGCAATTATTGCAGAACTCATTTTTAAACAAAGCTTAAAGTTGCAGTAGGTACAAATAGCAATCTGGCCAGCCATTATATTAACTTAATTAGTTATTTCATTCATTATGAAAACAGATGATTCTGCACTAATCTGGAATACTTCTCTACATCCAATCTAAAGTTCTATCATAAGTCATAATGTGCTTTACTTCTTTCGTGAGTAAATGAGAACAGCTTTCAAATAGTGGCGGCCTTTTAGACTGAAATTCTTTATTTGCTGATGTAATTTCCTCATATTATTTCCCTGATGACCTCACATGTTTTCCCAGCTGCCTTGTGAAGACCAGATCATTTTGCTGAAGGGCTGCTGCATGGAGATCATGTCGCTGCGTGCCGCTGTACGCTATGATCCAGAGAGCGAGACGCTGACGCTGAACGGCGAGATGGCTGTCAAACGCGAGCAGCTGAAGAACGGCGGGTTGGGCGTTGTGTCAGACGCCATCTTTGATTTGGGCAAGAGCCTGGCTCAGTTCAACCTAGATGACTCGGAGGTGGCTCTGATGCAGGCCGTGCTGCTCATGAGCTCAGGTGAGGAAGAAGTTCTGCTGCATTTTAACATTTAAACGTATCTTTTCTTATTCCTATCATTTCTGGTGACATTGTAGTTTTAATACTTTGTTTTTCCGATTTTCACCCAGCTCTTTTACGTCAGCAGAGTTTTCTTTAGTTTAGAATAAAAGTTGCTGGAAAAAAACTGAATGAAATATTTAATAACTGACACATAAATAATACAATGAGTGAAGGCTTTGCTGCTTCTGAGCTCAGATCACTTAACTGGTTATAAATTCACTTTTTACATTTTCACGTAGACAACTAAATGTGTCTTTTCTTTACACCGAAGTCATATCTTCTGTAAGAACAAGGCGTTGTGTGTCTTCCTACATCAAAGGAGAACTCCACCAGTTTTACACATCCAGATCATTGATAACAGCTTGTGTTCTGTAGAGGAACATTGTCAATTCTGAGAAAATCATATCATCATCACATTAAATTTCATTCTACTTGGTAAATTGTCCAGATTTTTGATGGGAATTAGCCAATTCTCAATTTTGAAAATAAAGCATTTTGTTGATTATTACTACAATTAAAACAATTACTCACAAAATGATTTAAATTAGAGTATAAAATGATTTTTGCATTCAGTCATGGGATAAACATCTACTCTGTATTTCTCGTGGGAGTCAGTCTGACTCCCACGAGAGCCCCACCTCTGGGGCTGACAAATGAAGCTGACACAGAGACGCCAAAAACTGCAGTTCTTGTAACAGCCACTAGAGGCTGGCTCCAGCAGTGAGTCAATCTCAAGAAGGTCCCATATTAAAATGCCCAACTTTACAGCATAAATAAACATGTTTACAGCCTGGTACAAAAAACTGTTCATGACAACTGTACAGGGGGTGAATTTTTATAGAACTCAGCTGTTTAAATTATATTAAGGCTTAAAGTTGTGCATAATTTAGACTTAGACTATGGCAACTTTGAGTGATAGGTAGGGGCCGTCACATGCGGTTGTTTTCAGTAATCAGGCTTTATTCAGCCCGCCTGAGCTCCACCCACGCACCACCTCTTTGCCCAAACCTATGAATGAGGTCACTGAGGCTATGTGACGCCTTTAATTATACAGCCTATGATTTTGAATGACGAATGCATACTGCTGCCACCTGCTGGTATGGAGGGTTATTACCTCTCGCTCAGGTGCAGAACATACAGCCCTTGGTCAGTGTGGGGTGTTCTAGTGTCACTTCTTGGCCAAAATGCAGTCGAAGCAACAGTCGGCTTTTGTCACCGCTAGTTCTTTGACTTCAGTTTGGGGTTTCAGGGCTGTTAGAGTAGAACATAAAAACCTAATCCAGGTTATTAGATTGTATATACAGTACAGTATATCAAGTACAGCATCAACATGGTCTAAAACAATACCCACATTTATAGCCTATCCTCAAGAGTGTCTTAGCTAAAATCCAATACCTCCCAAACAATCAGAATTAGAATAATATCACTAATCTGCCTTTAATCCTGTCACTGCACAACACTAGTTCCTATACAGTCACTGTCTGTGAAGCATGGCCACTAAGACAATAGTCTAAAAAGTCCAGAATTTACACTTACGGAAAGATGAGGTGGAGGTTGCATCAAAGTAAAAAATGTAAATCTTTGACTCTTCTTTATCACACCAGACCGTTCAGGGCTGACCAGTGTGGAGAAGATCGAGCAGTGCCAGGAGGCATACCTGCTGGCATTCGAGCACTACATCAACTACCGCAAGCACAACATTCCTCACTTCTGGCCCAAGCTGCTGATGAAAGTGACAGACCTGCGCATGATCGGAGCTTGCCACGCCAGCCGCTTCCTCCATATGAAGGTGGAGTGTCCCAACGAACTCTTTCCCCCGCTCTTCCTGGAGGTCTTTGAGGACCAGGAAGTGTGACTTACAAAACGTTGAGCCCCCTAAAAAAACCCTGGCCACAGAAGGAAATAAATGGGTTGGCTTTTGGTAGAAGAGGAAGTGTGTGGGAAGGACAAGAGGAGAAGAGAAACTGGATTTGTTTTTTTCTTTAGTGGGAACATGCCCTGTAAACTTTGTTTTTTGTCCCTTTTTTGTCACCCACAAGACCCACCACCTGCCACCAGCAAACACACATCAACATCACCAGAGAGAAACACTGACAATCCAGCTTTGCTTTTTGTCATTCTGAGAGGTACACACACACACAGACAGTTGTAAACCGTTAGATAGATATTCACAGATTCCAAACACACTGCCATGAACATACAGTAAATCTATATGCAAATTTCAGCAATTAACTCTTCTTGCACCTGTATGGACAAACAGCTGTACTCTACACTAATGCAAACTGAGGGGCTTGGTAATGTCTCTATTCCCTCCACACCCACCTGTCAACTAAAAAAATATATTTTTAATGTCCGGGACCTGACCAGTAGCTCCTCAGACAGTCCCTACTCCCACCACACACCCGTTGCCCCCGCATCTCAATAACCGCAATGGCGTCCCCTGTCTGCAGGTGCAGCCCACCCCCTCAGTCCACAGAGGCGCTGTGAGTGTTTGTCGACCTACCTCCCTCACGTACTGACCTCTCTATCTCTCTGTCTCACATACTCACAGAGACGCACACCTAAACTCTTACCTCATACCTTATAAATTGTATTTCCTCATTTATTGTGTGGGTGGTGGTAATTTATTGAGAAAACATGGAGCCATGTAGTCCTCAGTTACCCATGTTACCTCTTTGATAGTGTTACAGTGGGAAAACTTTATATAAAGTCCTTATCTATAATGTATTATTTACACACACACCTGCATTGCACATAGTAATAATGCATTATAACAGTTGCTTTGTGCATTATTATGTCTAATAACTACAGCTATAAGACAATATAGGTATGATTATAACGGATTAAAAGTTTTAAGATGTTCTGAACGTCATGGTTCTCTCTGTGAATGTACTGAATAAGGAGTGTGCTTCAAGAAATTGTGTATTGATATCTAGTAGGCCTTAAGGTTTGAGGTAAAAGCTTAAAGCAGTGGTTCAGCATTTAGCTTTTTTGCCAACAGTTGGATGAGAACATTGATACCACTGTCAAACACATGAAGCTACAGCCAGCTGCCAGTTAGCTTAATTTACACTTAAACTATAAAAGACTGCAAAATGTTATCTCAGCTTTGTCCAATATAAATATAAAATATAAATACGACATATTGCAGTGTTACGTGCTATAGACTTTTTTATTTCTTTTTCTTATTTCGTTTTACCTTTGGACAGAGCCAGGCTAGCTGCTTCACTGAATAAGCATATTTCCCAAAATAACAAATATGTGTGTCCGGAGTAATATATTTCGTCTTTTCATCAGATAAAAATGTTTTTTTAATGCTTTGGTTTATCACCAAATACCTTCAAAACTAATGACATATCCACCAGTCTCGGCTGTACTTTGTGTTTAGTGCTAATTATCAAAATCTTAGCATGCTAAACTAAGATGGTGAGCATAGCAAACATTATTTGCTAAACTTAAGCAAGCTAAAGCAGTGATAATAAATATTTGTACATTATCAATAGTTGACTTCTTGTTTGCAGCCGTTTTCCTCAAAAACTTTCTAAAAACCCACAACAGGCTAGCTATACATCAGAATGAGAGAATTAGTAGTTAGCTGTGGACATACGGTCGTAGAGCATTTAGCAGCTAAAGATCTCCCTCAGAGGGCTAAAAAGAAAATATTGGACTTAAATTCAACACAGCTCCAACTGAATGCTAATGCTGCTAAGTAATCGCTCGATGTGTAAATAAGCAACTGTTTGTGTTGTGTTGACAGTTTGTTTTTGCTGCCCCCAAGAGGCCAGAACAAAGCATTGCTTAACACTGCTATTCTTAGCATGTTAGCATCACAACCGCTTCCATTTTTACATGGACTGCGTATAGCTTGTGGTCAGGATAATCGCAGGATATCTGTCTACCCTGACAGCAAGAGGCCTTACTGCCTGCCGTAACCCCATTCCTCATTCAGTATGTTTACAGAAAGCACTCTTTTATTCCTGTACATGCAAAATGGGCAGAAAGAAAAAAATGATTATATTGTTGAGACACATTATGAGCATTTTGAAAATAGTGTATCTATAGGCTACATAGGATGTGTTTTCAACACTTCTTTCATTAAAAGAAACATTTCAAAATCACAATACATGTAGGTGCAATATATGAATACCTCTCTGACACATACCTCCTGTTTTCATTACCTCACACACACACACATATTACACACACCCATTCAGTTGATGTATTACCTCAGTTGTTTTGTTGCTCATCTCTTCTGCCGGGCTGCACCACTCTTCCTGTCTCCATATGTGTGTTTGTCTTCTCATTGGAGCCCCGTTGTGTTATTCGCATCATAGCCCCGCCTCCTCACCTCCCCGCTGTCTTGTGATAGGTTCAGTGCTGGCAGACGGTGGTGGTGGTGGTGGGAAGGGATTTTGTCACTTACCTCTGCAGGCCTCCCCTGTCATCTGTACCTGTTTCAAGTCCAGCCTGAAACCCACAGATTCTACCTCACCCCTCATCTAAGCGCAGCTGCCCCCTGTCTGCAACACACTGACATGCATGCACATATATATATATATAATATATATATATATACATACTCGAACGTACACAGAGTGCACAAATGAGTCGCCAGCATGGACCCGTTGAGTGTGCTGCTGCACTCACAGCAGGTCTTTTAAACGGGCCATGGATTAACATTTTACAGCTGACATGGCAGACTTTGTAATTTTCTCCCCTTTTTACATTTTCATCACACACCATGTGGGACCAACAGTCACTTTGGATTCTCTTTTTATTTGGAAACCTGAAATGACAGCGAGGGCAGGAGTGAGTTTATTGCAGTATGCTGATGGAACTTAAAGGAAACGACAGCTGGAAGCTGAGACTCCAGTGGAAGCCATTTTGGCCCGATTGGGCCAAGCCAACGGACTACTGTGGGTGGTAACTGGGAGGTAAATGAGCAGCAAGTGAGTCAGCAGTATTCACCTGTGGATATCGTTTCATCCTGGCCGGGGAGGGAAATTGAGTGACTGTGGCGGGTAGCGATGTGATAGCAGACCACCACACAAAAATAGGCCCTTGTTCTCGCACCTACACTACACCTGCAGATCCTTCCCTCGCCATCGCAGGAGAAATGGACACTAAGCAATTTGAAAGACTTTCTGAGCGACTGTCCTATCCCAGAAACTCACAATATGAGTTACACACTGCTGGAATAAGCTCCACCAACCATATCCCAAATTGCCATCCACTACAAATGACTATCAGGTTTTTTTCTGTTGCACTAGAACCACAATGTCTGTATCCCTTAGTAGCCCAGAACCCTTACCCTTTAACCCACCCCCCCCAACATCTTTCCCTTCCCTGCCTGTCTTAAGCAGTCTTAACAATATTCACTAAATTGTGAATTGTCACACACATGTAGAAACGCACACAGTCCGTTATCTAGGCTCTTGATTACCTGTTGGACCCAACGAGGACTGTGACATGGCCTTCAGGCGCCGCCACTCTGTGTTCTGTTCTAATCTATGTTGCAGGGTATTAAAATAGAACCGTAAGCTCTAATTATACAGGGATATACACGCACAGCAGCAGCAGCAGTAACACACACACAGCAATAGGATGATCAAGCAGTAACGTTTCACACCCGCCACCTCCGGGCCTTGCGTGTTTGGACTGTACTTTGCTCACTATCACTGTGAATGAAAGCCATGCTGCAACCGGGCCATGGCTCAGACAGGGAACCTGCTCGCTTAGTAGGTCTGACATGCTAATGTGCCTCACAGAGGCCGGAAATAGAGATACACATTATACACTATACAGAAGCATATATTGTGTATATATAAATGTTAGAGTTATTGTATGTGGCATTCGATCTATCAGTGGCTGAATTTATGCTGCCAGCTCAAATCAGATCATGAATCTGTCCGAGCAGTCATGTAGCAGAGGGTGTCAGAATCAGTTTACCCAGCTGTATTAATATCCGTAAAGTAATATATATGCATTGTTTGCAGTTGACGTCATATTGCATTATGATGCCTTAAGTATAAATACATCTGCTTTCTCCCTATTTTAAACATGAGATCAGGTCTGGTCCATATAGCTCGATAATTTCAGGTTTAGATTTTAACTGGCAGCACAGCCACTCTCTCTCTCACTCTCTTTCTCTCACTCTCTTTCTTCCAGCCAAATGATCACTGGAGAAATCCTCCCTCCTCTGCCCGTCCTCTTAAAAAACCACACCAGCACCACAGAGCACACTGCCTTCAGCCATGATCAGTTGTACCAGCATAGCAGAGAGACAGGCCAACAGTCACTGACCATCCTCCTCACCAAAAAGCCATTTTACCTGGACTTCACTGCTAGCTACGATCATGTTCACACAGCGGGCAAATCCAGTTCAAATCTGTGTCATTTTTAATCGACCAGACTGAATCTGGGTCCAGGCAATATATTAATTTGCTGTCTATATGACCATGGTCGTCATAGTGACCAGGCAACCAGGCACACAGTGTCGAGGAACACGTTTTCCACATGACCAACCACTCAATATGCTGCAACAAAGCCGATGACACGCAGTGCTTATTACTAACTTTATGGCTTCATGACCTCCTCGCCGTGTAATCATGAGAGGAGGCGTTGAGCCTGAGAAAGGTTCCTTTTTCTTTTCTTTCAAGATGTATCTTAATTCAAAATAGAAAAATGGATTTGATCCGCATGTTTGAACATGGCCAGGGTGGTGGTACATGAGGCAGTTTTTGCAGGCGAAGCCCAATGGAAATGCCTCCCATTATAAAGAGCCACAGAGTCAAACACGTGCGTACTTGTGCCAGTAGAGCACTAAAAGCAGCACTGCTAAGGCCCATGAGAGTTGCCTCTCTCCCTCTGTACACCCTGTGTTACTTTCTGCACTTCCTACCCGAGCTGCAAAATCTCTGTCTCTTAGGGTGAAGTTAGGGTTAAGTTTTATGTTCGTTTACAATTAACTAAAATGTGAAGCTCTGTCGCTGCAGCATGGCTCAAAACTATAACAACCACTCTGAAACAGGTCATCTTTCCACAAATAAACTACTTTTATTACTTACCCAGGGAAAACATATTTGTCAATAACACCTTTTTCCTAACATCTATCTTTTCCCGTCCTTCCATCTCTACTCCCCCACATTCCCATTCTAGTTCCTGTTTTATCAATCTTTTTCCGATTCTACATCCTCACCCCTGTCCCATTTCTCTATTTAACTCCTTCACTCCTCTTTCCTTCACCCCCAACACACATCCCCCACGCACACACACACACACACACACACACACACACACAGATTTGCAGAAAGCTACGCCGACTCATACGAACACTCTTGGTGGAGAAAGACGACAATCCCTGCAGGAATATGTCCACATGTGGAATGTAAAATACTGAAATTGTACGATTAAAGACACAGTGTGAAGTCCCACAATCATGTTGTTTTGATGTTGTTGATGTTGCTTTTGTTGTGCACCAAGTGTTCGTTGTTATGCTTATTCTGGAGCGGATGAGTTAGCAGGTGGGGTTAAAACCTTGATCATGTGACAGACTGCTACTGATAAGTCCTTTTTTTAATATTGTATGTTTATAAAAGTGGTGTGAGGACTGAAAACCTTGAGCGATGTAAAGCAAGAGATGAAGTGACTTTATTTTGGATAGAGAAAAAAAAGCTCTTTTTTTTTAATGATTATTAATTAATATTAAGTCTCTATTACTTTGCATCTGATTTTCTTGGTAAGTGAATGTCTGTCTATCTGTGGTGATGCTTTACTGTGAGAAAATGGCTGTATATGCAGTGGTAGCTAGTGCTAACGTCACCCAAGGGTCATGGTTCAAATCACCTTCAGTTTAGCTGGTTGAAAAAAAAGTCTTCATAGCTCTTTTAAACAGCCTGCTATTCAGTTCCTAAGAGATGTAATCCTATTTAGCATTTTAACTTTTTAGTTGCCTTATTCTGGTTTTAAAATCAGCAATTAAATGTGTTACAAATTCAGAATAACACAGGCGCACACATTTTTAGGAATAGGCCCATCGGTCACGTACTATTATCTAATGAGAGTTTTGGCACCAGACCTAGCTCTGTAGTGTGTATGCTAGCACTTTAATATACACTATGTAACTGTAGGTGACATGCCTTACTCTCAGTATAACCTTTTAGTAACACAAATTTGGCACAGGTTTGGATTCATACTTTTCAGAAATTATTTAAAACACATTCTCAAGTTTTAATGTCTGCAATTGGGTTTTCCCATCTTTTTTGTCAGGTAGCACCACCGCTGCCTGTGATAGGTTGAGATAGTGGAGACAAGACCCTAGTACATTCTTCCTTATGAGCCTTAAACTCCATTAATTAAACAACGCTAATCATAATGTTTCTTTAAGACACAGGAGTTTTTTTAAATTCAGCTTCTGTCAGCCATTAGAGGAGCCGCAACTAACTAGTGGGATAGCTTGACAATTTATGTATATGTAAATAAAATAAAAAACATAACCAGAACAAATTTCACTGACTATCACGTGGAGTTTAATGTCACTTCAGGCTCAAGGTTTTCGGAATATGATGAGCTGCAAATTAATATCATATCTTCTCTTCTTCTTCTTCTTAGCATGCACATTGCTTAGCTCTAACAGCTGTCTGATGACTAGCCCCACTCTCATATTGGGTAAGGTGGATCAATGGGCCAAAGCCCCTCAAAAGGAAATGTATTTACTTCAAAGAAACTCCAGCTAACGTCACAGAACAACACATTTGAAGCACAGTTTGACTTGTACTTGTACAATTAATACATGTTTTTTTAGAGGCTGTACGAACATTATTGGTGTGTCACCTCACACAGCAACAGTACATTAAGTGCATTGCCACTAAATACAATTAATACCTATGTTTTCCTGACGGACTGCAATGTAATTGGAGTGGGGGGAGGTGGGTGAACCTTATGTTTCAATATTTTAGAGTAAGAACGTCCACAGTAACATTAATACTTTATCTGGACACTCCCCTTAGAATGAAACGGCATTACTCTCCCCACAATATCTCCAAATAATGACAAAGTATTGGTACAGCTTAACTTATGATTAATAACTAAACATATCAAACAAACCTTATAACCCTCAAGATATAAATCTGGGAAGATAAAACATTGAAAGAACCTTTCCCTGCTCATCCAAAAAAAGTAAGACTATTCTCCGCTCAGCAATAAGAAAAATCACATAACCCTCGCCGTCCCTAATCATTTTCATACAGTCCCTTAAGACTCATTATGGATGCATACAGTATTGTTTCTGCTTCCAGTACGATTAATAGGTTACTATTTTAAGTTCATTGTAAACTGCAGTTACACCAAATCCATTATCCCATTAGTTTAGCTGAAAGTAAATGAACCTGAATCCTGCCTTCCACAGTTTCTTGGGCTGCATCACTCGCTAAGCTGGGTCAAGAGAACAACACCCACGTCCTGATCTTAGCCTTTAGATTGCTCAAATGTATCTGACCTTAGACCAGAGCTCGTCTTGCAATGTATACATCTGCCGTGTATTAATCTCAATGTTGTGATGAGAATATTGATGGAAAAAAAAGCCTCACCATACAAAAACGAAAGAGTAAAGAAACAAAAAATCACAAAATAGATACCAAAAAAAGAGATTTGTACAACTTTTCATACCTCATTGTACTGCTATGTGCCAGAGTGACGGAGGGGGAGTGATCAGTCTGAAGTGAGGAAATTCACCAGAAGTTCTCAAAATGGTGGCTTGAATAGTTTAGTTGGGAGCCTGTCCACGTCCCTAAACAAACTCAAAATGTGTTATAGAGGGTGGATGAATTTGGTAAAACTGCTTACAGAATCTTTTCTGGTTGTAAGATACATCATTGTGACAATGTATGAAACAAAAAAGAAAATACATGCACTTACTTTGTTTTGTCCATAAGGAACTGACGTCAAGGAATATGAAGCCATGCTGTGAGTATTTATCATCAGCTGGCAGATATTTTTTCCTTCTCTATGTGTGTTCTGCCCTGAGGACTGATGTTTCAGGACAAGAGTTGGAGTGCATTGAATAGTTTGGCCAAATTAAATACTTAAATGCAAATTACATTTTTTTAAATAGTCGGCAGGGGCAAAGAAATAAAAAATGGTGCTCCTGCCACCCCCTAAACATTTTCTGAAGAGCAATGTATCCTCTTCAAGCTTTCAAATCTCCTTAGGTGCAAATATGCAGTTACACTTCTTTGTGTCCAGTGTACTTTAAAGCTGCAGTAGGTACTTTTTATAAAAAAAAAATTTTTTGTCAT